CTCGGTACGGCCAATTGCCACTCATTCTCTTTGCTGTTGGACTATTGAGGTTTCTTTTACCATGGATTCCTTCCCATTGATGATGCATGATCCCGTTTCTGATAGGGTTGGGTTCGGTAAGGGCTGATCCTCTCTGTGCTACCAACAGTGTAGCAATAGGTTTATATTGAGAGTTGGTTGGAGGGGAAGAGCATTGTACAGTAAGTTACGGAGTACAGAGTACATTGGCTAGAGAAAGAACGAGAGTGTTGATGATGCGCATTGAAAGAGACCGAGAGTTAATGGGTCGAAATAGAATGTTAATGTGACCTGTCATCGATCCCGAGAGGTTCCTTCCGTCTGTGCATCTGTCACATTGAACACCAGTCAGTCCGTCAGTCAGTCCACTGCAACCACTGCATCCACTGCATCCACTTCACTTCCTCGACTGCATCCACTCCGATCGGCCACTACGCTACTTTAGGTTCTCTCTTCCTTTGAGTTACTGTAACAATCGCCGATGGGATTGTTACGAGGCTGACACCTCACTTCCCACCCATTACTCTCCCCACTACTCGTCCACTTCCGCATGGAGAGCCAGTCTGTCTACCGATAACCGATAGGTACAGTACATTCCCTTACTAGGTATCCCTCGATTGTTGGGTACCAACTCCATACTTCTCATTCGCTAACGGGAACCCAATTGAATCCCCTCCCCTGAGATCGAGAAAAAAAAAACAATCAAAAAAGCGAAACAAACGGTGCTGCCATCCCGGCCATCCCGTGGTATCCCTTGCGTGATATCTAACGGTTCCTCCAGTATCTCGTTCAAAGGGAGACGGCAAAGACCGAAGCTGCAATCATGAAGTCACACGAGACCATCACAGAACCAAAGGGCTGATGATCGCGCCCTAGGATCATCGATAATCGCCGTTCAAAGTTTGACTGGCCCTCCTTCGTCGATTTGTCTGACACAGGTCTGCATAAGAAAGGACAAGGGAAAAAAAAAGAAAGATGCGCCATCCTGTTGATGATGATGACAGGGCCTCTCCAGCCCAGCAAATAGTTGTCTGGCACGGACTCGATCGCTCTCGCTTGGAGTTATTTTTACTTTTTTCTCCCTTCTAGCTTGAAATCTTGACTCTTGTTTCCCTTTTCTTGTTCTGGCTTTTTTTCTGCCCCTTCCAATCAATGATGACTCCACATCGGCCTTGCGTGTGCTCTTCCCCCGCCCACAACCTCCCCCAATGCCCTTGGGTGCCTGGCTGGCCACCCTGGGCTCGTCGAATAGCGACTGTCTAGTACCAACTCTATCTTGCAAGCTATCGAGAACGAGGGCAAGCTTCTCATTCGACGATTCGTCACAATTCTGCATTGGCCTGGAGATCCTGGGAAAGATCCCTCCCGGGCTCTAGTGCAGCAAGGGCCTGACAGCTCCTCGAGTTTCCTTGAGGTCCCTTCATAAATTCGAGATAGCTCGTCTCTTGGACTGTCTGGTCTGTTCTCTCCCTCTTTCTTTCTTTCTTTTTTTTTCTATTCTGGGTGAACACTTCGTGCGGCGACGGGGTGAGCAACAGTTGGGTCACGGTCAGCTGTATACACAAATCCCGTGCACATATCCCAGTTGCATTCTATCCTTTTGTTTTTCTATCCTTTTGTTTTAGTCTTTCGTCCCACACGCTCATTACCCCAGTTGACTTGCTTTGTCAGTGCATCACACCTGCCTAGACACCGAGCCGCTGCCCTGCGTCAGATTTCTTGACTCAATTGAACCTTCTTGTTGATCACCTTGTCACGCTCATTGGTCTCGTCATTCTGTCATACTCAATGCTGACCGTGCCTGATTCTTGTGCAAGATTCCGTGGCCATTCGAGCAGCTGGTAGCCAGCTGCGGTTCCCATGCAACGGAGGACCAAGTCATATGACAGCCTAGTTGCACCGAGCCCGATTGTCCCAACCTGCCGATCGAGCTCCAGCACATCCCGCACGGGACGCTACACCATGTCTCCCCTCTCACAAGAGGTTCGGGCAGAGAGCCCGGCTTTGATGCTATCCGATTCGAAGAGTGATCAAATGACCGACTTTCTGAAGTATATCGAGACCCCAAGCGGGGCCCCGCAGTCGACGGGGGCTCGCGATATATTCCGAGCCGGTCAAAGACGTCTCCGACAACTTGCTCAACGCCCACGGAAGAACCTCGACCCCAAATCCAAAGCTGAAGAGACGGCTCGTCAGCTGATGGCGCTCCAGGAAGGGGGATTCCTGCCGTCGCATGTTGCCCTATCACCCAAGCTTGCACCCAAGCGATCATCCCACAAGCAAAGCTTAGACTCCAGCCGTTCCTCGTCCAGATCCATCTCGAATCTCAGCTTCAAGTCCAGTTCCCGCAGAGACGTTGAAAGCATTGGACAGCCCTGGCTGAGTGACCCACTGCAAAAGAAAGACAAGCCTGATACCCAAGCCAGCCACCCTTCTTCGCTCGATCTCCGAGAACTAACCTCGATGGTGGAAGCGGCCGTGTCATGCCCCGCGCAGCCAGACGATATCGACCCACCCCCTTATCGGCCAGTCGAAATCTCGGAGCAGAGTGCTTCGAGGCCAAATGAGAATCGGACTAGCACGTTAAATCCGCCATCGGACCAGAACACTCGTCGCATGGAAGGTATAGAAGAAGGGGATATTGCGGCCAGTAGGCCGGATACAGATGCACCTGTAGGGATAACGCTGCCCCGAGATCGGCTGCGTGAGGAGCAGCAGGTTTTGAACGCAGGACAAAGCTAACTTTCAATAGTCTCAACCCACGAAGGGCCAGAGTGCAGATTCCCGTCGACCTAGCACAGAATCCAAGGCTTCGGCATCTGGGCCAGTGTTAGCTAGTACACAGAGCACTCAAACTCAACCTCCTCCAACATTGAAACTGTTCCCCGATACGCTACCTCCGCGAGTATCTAGTAAAGGAGCGTGGCGCATATCAGGTGGCCGTCCAGCAGCGCCCGGCGGAGCCCTCCCTCTTGCACCTGCTCAACGTGCTATGGTTGATCCAGTGAGCGAATGTACTAAATTAGAAGCAGATTCTACGTCCACAGAGCGACAGCCTAGCACCGCTCCAGATAATCAGAACAAGGGAACATCAGGAGAACCGCAAGGAAAAGAAGGCACAGACAGCTCGAAGAGCGAGCCGCCGAAGAAAAGCTGCCGGCGGCCTTCCTCCTTGCCAATGTGCGCCATCGATGCATTCCCCATTCCAGCACCCATGAGACCTCTGCCATCATTACCTGAACTGGGTCCTGCTGTTACTGTCCACGAGCGGACAACGTCCGCCCAGCCCGCATCCTCTACAAGATTGATGCTAGTGGGCAAACGGTCAACTGCTGAGAATGATATTGAGATAAATGGTGAGATCAATGGTGAACCAGCTGGATTTGCACCAAACGCGCCTGGGCCCAATACTCTGGTGCGAACAGGCCCAAATCGTGCGGAGCGGGTCATGGCCCTGAAGAAGCGCGATGTGACTACAGGCCGTCTCTATCTTAATGGCCTGGACCCTCCTGAAGAAGGGAATGAGGAGGAACAGCCAGCCGATGCGTTGACACCGGAGCATGAGACCTCTCGGGATGATGAAAATATCTCGGACGCTCGCAGAAACATCGAGCACCAGCCGGATTGCAACAAACGGTATCAGCGAATAGTGGCTTCGGAGCCCCCATCGCCACCACCGCGCTCACCCCCGCCAATGAACCCAGCGAGACATTCTACTGGTCAGGCTGGTCGACAGTTTTCGGCCTCTTCGAACAGGTGGGACCAGGGTTACTCCGAAGAGCTTGAGCTGCAGTCAAAGCTGAATAAGACGATTGGAGTACAGCGAAGCGGCAGCGTGCATAGCTCAAGCACTCAAGAGAGGTTGGCAAAAGAGAAAAGTCTCAAGGTTCGCTCTGAATCGCCGCTGCCATCGTCCGATGACGACTGCACCGGTGCGAGTAGGCGGACTCGTCCAGCTGCAGGGCGGCGGCGTCGTTCCAGACCGACACCTTTGGCTTTCAGGGAGCAGGCCACAAACAGGCCTCGCTCTGCCAAGAAGTCATTATCGGGACATAAGATTCCACTGACTCCTAGAGACTATCGACTGCATGGCTTTGAGGGCCACTCACCGGAGTCCTACCACTCCCAAAGGACCAACCAGTCGCAGGAATCACGAGATGCCAGGCAGTCGACCCAGATAATTGAGGCTCTCGAGGAGCGCATCACGCACCTCGAGCGACAAAATAAGATCTTGCAGGCTGCTCTCTTAGCCGCGCTGGATGTTGGCACCAAGCAAAGTCTGGAGACTGTGCTGGGGGGGTTGACAACGCCGCCGGCGACCGCAACCCCAGGCACGGGAAGATCTTTCTCATCGGAGACCAGTACTTCGGTGTCGACACGTGCACGGAAGTCATACTCGAGGAGAAGCAAGAAACCCCCCTTCCGGCCTGAGAGCTGGATTGCTAGTCCAGGGTCTAGTCGGAGGGGTAGCTATGGGACGGATGATAGTGCCAATGTGCAGGAGCTCGAGGATATGATGGAGGACTTTGACTTGGACTGGATGTCGGAGAAGTCGGAGGCTTAGTGCAGGGGAGAGACTGCCAGGATGATATATGGTGTGTGACGTGCACTTGTTGAGTGCTCTATTCTAATTAATCTTTCCTGTGAGTATTACTATCGACTTGAGTCAATCCTGTTCAGCTTGGCTTCGCTGTGTCATTCTTTGATTTCCTTTGTGTTTTGCCCTTTGAATTCCACGATACCACTTTGTTTCTTTGGTTTTGGGTCTTGTATATGATGAGCAGCATTGAAGATAGTCTATGGACTGCAATGCATCGAGTTTTTGCACAGGTATTTCTGACTAGATAGGAGAGTGTTTGCATAGTAATTTTATAGTGTAGTTAAGAGTAACTAAGTTAACTTAGTTGAGGCCCCTGATGAGTCAGCATGTAGACGGGAGCAGCAAAACAACACCGCCATAAACAGCAATCAGCAAACAGCACAGCTCACAGCTCACAGCTGAAATTTGCCCCTCCACAAAGCTTCCACCCCATCCCGCTTACCAGACAGTCCCTTGTTCAGGCAGGACATGCTTCATCTCCAGCCAAATCCCTCCCTTTAACACTCCCCTCCTCTACCATCTCCTCAACCCCCACCGCGCCGGCTCCGCGGCCAACAAGAAATATGGCGACCACCACCTCAACCGTAGGTCTCCCAAGCCGATATCCTCTCGCTCCACGCTGTCATTAAGACAATGATGAAGCTAACCCAGGCTTATTGATTCAGTCCCCGCAAATCCCCCATCACGTCACCGCCCTCCTCTCGCACCTCACCTCGCGCCCCGGCGTGCAATCCACCTTCATCCTCTCCCGCAAAGACGGCTCCATTATTCAGAGCACGGGGTTATACGCCTTTTCGCCGACGACCCGTCGCCCGAGCAGACCTACACCTACACCTACACCTACACCAGCACCTATCTCCAACCCAGCCTCATCGCCGTCGCCGTCGCCAGCTACAGCCCCAGCTACCCTCCCAAACCCGAACACTGTCCCTGTTTCTGGTTCTGGTTCTGGTCCTGCTCCTACAGCCCCGCACCCCGACCAACAACAAGAAGGAGTACAAGAACAGTCCACCAACCCGACAACCCCTGACGCCACAGAAACCGTCCTCCCCCCGACTGTCCCAGCTACAGAGGAAGACAGCGCAGCAGAAGCCGAACAACCGGACGAACCCCCCACGAACACAGACAAAGACACATTCCCCATCGCCAGCGCCGACCCCAACACCCCGCAAACCCCACAAGTGACCACTCTCCCAATCCGAACCAAGGAATCGGCGGCGGCGCAACAAGAGCAAGAACAAGCGCCAGCCCAAGAGCAACAGCAAGAGAAATACACCCCCTCGCCCGCCGAGACCCTCGCCGCGCATATCTTCGCGTACGTGACGAGTGCGGCTGACCTCAGTGCCGTGTTGGCTGATCCGACCTCTGACGGGGCTGGTGGTGGTGGTAGGCAGCAGCTTGGGGGTGGGGTGGAGGCTGGGAATCGAAGCGGGGACTTTAGGACTGGGCATGGTATTGGGCAAGGGCAAGGGCAAGGGCATGAACAAGGGGAAGGGGAGCGCGACGAGGAGGAAGAGGAAGGGGATGAGGTGAAGTTGTTGCGGTTGCGGACGAGGAAGCATGAGATTGTGGTGGTGCCGGATCGGAAGTATTTGCTCTGTGTGGTGCATGGGCATGGCTCTGGAGCGGGAGCTGGAGCTGGGGGTGCGGTTGGGGGCGGGGTGAGGAGGTGATTTTCCGATACCCGGGAGGGCTGTGTAAGTTATAGGTTAGAGGTTGGGATATATACCCGGTGGATTTACATAGTATAGGGGGAGAGATATGATAGTTTCTCATGATGCCCGTCCTATCAATTCTCCTTTGACGGTATATGGATGCATAGTCGCGAGTACCCCCAATAAAAAGATAATAAGAAATACCTCAAATCGACCACGACGACAGAAATGAGCTATAACGATAGATCTCTCACCATAACCCTCTAAACCACGAAAACCACCCCTCCCCCCCCTACTCATCCTCCCCAGGCAACCGCACCCCCTCCCACCCCCTCCGACTCCCATCCCCCAAATCCCCCGCCGACCCCCACCGCCCAATGCCCCTCCACTCCGACAGATTCGCCCACCCAATCTGCTGCAGCCCGCCAAACCCCCCGACCCAATAAACCTGCTCCACCACCAACCGCGCCCAGAAGCTCTCATGCGGCGCCCCCTTCCGGCCCGGCAACCACGCCTTCGCATCCGGATGCGCCCGCAGATAGCACTCCGTCAGCCGCGCCTCCACCTCGCCCGCCCCTCGGCCCGACCAGTCGAACGGGCCACCGCCTCGAAATCAATCGCCTCCACAAACCCCAAGAGCGTGACGCGGGGCAGCCCCGCGGGACTGAGCGGAAACCCGGGGAACACGGGCTCGGTGCGGTTGACGTGGTCCCACCACGACAGGGACAGGGACAGGTTCGACCCGTGCGCCGTGTTGCGGAAGGTCGTGGCGATGGTGAGGGCGAGGAAGATCGGGTTGCCTTCGCTTTCGTCTTCGCTCTCGCCTTCTGTGGATGATGATGAGGTGGTGGGGGAAAGCGCGTGCTCGCAGTCGGACAGGTACTCGGTCAGGCTGATGGAGTGGCCGGCGACATCTGCGGGGATGTGGGCGTAGGCGCGGCTGTTGGCGGGGAGGGGGGAGGGGAAGATGGTCGAGGCAGTGCCGGTGGGGGAGAGAGCGAGGAGACGACGGGCGAGGAGGGTGGATTCGAACCAGCTGGGGGCTTTGTATGCTTCCTCCTCCTCTGAGGAGGAGGAGGAGGAGGAGAAGGGAGGGGAGAGGGAGGGGGAATCGGTGATGGGGTGGAGGGGGTAGGACGCTGGGTCTTGATGGTCTGGCTTCAGCTCGAGCTCGGGCTCGGGCTGCAGGAGGTGCTGTGTCGAGGACACGGGGTCGAGGACCGGTGAAGCGCCGCCGACGTTCAGGAAAGCGGTGGTGCAGAGGAGGGCGAGGGTGGAATAGAGGGTTATGGCGGTCGCGGGGGCCATCTTTGCGGAGGGTTCTCGGCACTCTTCACAGGCAGACAGAGGAAGAGCGAGAGCTTGTTAAGAGATAAGTTGTGGACTCGAGAGTGTTGTGGATGAAACTGGAATGGATGAACCGAGGTGACGCCAGATGAGGGGAAGCATGGACCATACATACCATCTGATCTTATCTGATCCCGCTAGACCCGACTTGTCGTCCCACTTCGCTCCATCTGGTGCTTGCAGCATGTGACCGAGTCTGACCGGTGGACCGGTGAATGACCTTCCGGGCTCGTCCGACCTCGCTGCCTGATCCGGTCCCTTCCGGATCTCTGCCTCAGGCGTTACTGGGCGGGCACTGGGCATAGGCCGGCAACAATGAGTCACTAGTGCCAACTAGCGTCTCCCCGGTGAACCAACGCAACAAGACCCAAGCAAACGCCCCTGACCTCTGGGCCACTGGCCACCGTCTAAACATATGGATCACCCCCGCCTGACCAGTTCATCCACATTTCCAACATCATACTTGCGGTGAGTCATACCGGCGCCCGCGGGCTCCCTCACCTGACCTGGTTCCTTGCGCTGGGACAGAGTGAACTCAGGGCTAGGCAGACTACGAATAGTTGGGTGGCGGCAAATCAGGCAATCTACACCAGACAAAGGCTTGATAACACATAGTATTGGTCATCGTCAAAGAGCCAATCGACTCTCATGCTTCTAACTATCAAAGAGTATCCGACTCAACTCCGCAGGGTGCGAGGTAAAATGTGCAGCCCCTCCCGATATGATGATGTGCACCCGCAAGCAGCCAATAACAAAATTAAAAAACCCCAGGCCCTTCCCATCACACTCCAGTCCCGTAAAAACAAAATAACGATAGGTCAATAGGTAGGTGGTAATAAATGTGGACAAGAAATGGAAAGTGTGCAGACGAAGACCTCCCCAACGTACATCGTACAAGAGTGACCGCAAAGCCGCAGCCAGACAAAGAAAAAAGCAACAAGACTCCACAGAGTCGGAAAACCAGCTGGAGGGTATTTACAAAGACCATCACTTTTGTTTTCCCCTTAAGAACGCGCACGAATGAAAAAAGTTCGCACAAAACTTTTCCCTTCCCAGAATGCGTCTTCCGCTGCTGTGCTGCGAGTACACAAAGAGAGTCACTCGTTCGACGAGCTCAGAAAGGTCAATCAGAATAGGATTAAGCAGTAGCTGATTTGTAAAGAGTGCCCCCGAGAGCGGGGCTGAGAGTGAAGGAATGAAGGCACCGAGTTCAACCCAAGTAGTCTGCCCGCATGCTCGGGTGAAGTGCAACCTTCCGGGCTTCGCTACCACAGCAGGCCCGTTTCATGCCGGCCGGACCGGACAGCGGCGCCGGGTAGTTCAAAGCATTCAACTGATGCTGAGTGAGTGCCGGCGCAGAGCCAGGTCCAGATCCCATCAGCACATCCGCCATGCTGCCATCATGGAGCACAGGCCGCGCGGCCTGTGCGCTAGCCTTGGCCAACTGACGCACATGGCTCTGCAGGAGCATATCCTCCGATCCAGTGCGACCGCGCTTACGGCCTTGGCCCGTGGGTTTGTGCTGACGGGAAGTCGCGCCAGACAGTTCACACAGGCTTTGGGCCGCCTCATGCGTGGACGTCAGATCAATCGGGTGCTCCATAGAGTAGCCGGAGAGATCCGGAACTTGACCGATAGGGCCAGTGTAGCTCTCCGGGGAACTGTAGACCGGACCAAGCGAAACTTCATCCGGGGGAGACACGATGGCCAGATTCTTTCGGCCCTCCTTCAGAGAATTGCCAGTGCAGCGGAGCGTAGCCTGCACGGCCAGACGAGGCATCGATGCCCCAGTGACCGAGGAGCACGACGACATGGAAGACGACCGCGAGGACTGTGAGGACAGAGTCGACACATCCGACACCATCGAATCCGGAGACGAGGTGGAAGAGGCCGAGCGAGCCAAGGAAGACCGGCGTACGAGGCTAGGGTAGCCATCAAACGTGCTAGGCTTGGGACAAAGCGATAGCGGCGGGCGCTGGTCGTAGACCGACCGCGCCGTGCACATACCTTGTACCTGCGACATAGCAGCTTGCATGTAACGCCGATGAGCAGCCATACCGCCAGCACTCACTGCAGGAGTGGAGGCGATGCTCGACTGGGGGGTCATCTGGGGAGTCGGCAGCATCTGAGGCTGTGGCATGGGTGGAAGGGACGGCAGGGAGTTCTCCCGTTGGACCATCGATTCCAGAGCCAATGGAGGCAGAGTAACAGAGTCATTCGTGGGAAGCCTGGGCAACTCCCTCCGGATCGAGGTGCCGCGGGGAGATGGCGATTCTGCCACGGAATAGGAGTCGAAGGCTCCCATGCTCGAGGGCGTCGCGGGGCTGGCGTCCAAGTCGTCCAAGTCGGGGGTGAGCTTGGGAATGATCGTGCGCCAGCACTGGCCATCATCGACCGGCATGCTGCTTGCGCCTGGGGTGAAGCGCAGCACGATGTCAGTCCACCTTTGAAATAGTGACTCGGGGATGTGAAGTCGCCAGTTAACTGCTTCGAGGAACATGAGCTCATTCTGGTTGATCTCGGCAGTATTCAAGCCGGAGATCTTGCTCCAGGCACGAGCGGAGTAGTTGCGGTCCTGAAGGTATTTCGAGGCGAGAATCAAAGCCGCCAAGAACATGCGCCGCCCGCATTGCATAGCCCGACAAGCGGACTTGCCTCGGGATTGGTCTTGCGTCAGATCGTGGCTGGGCACGTGCGACTTGATCTTGATCAAGTAGTACAAAGCCACCTGCAACGTGCTGTAGCTAGTGCGCGAGCGACGGAGTGTCTCTTGGATGAAAGTGCGGAGGGGCAGCACGCCTTTGCAACCAGTCGCCGAATCACTCCGGAGCGACACTGCGGATAGTGGCCAAATGGCCTCGACGATCTGCGACGCGGTATCTTCATGGGGTTGTTCTTAGCTCCGATACTTTTTCGACCAACGTGTTCAGGAATCTCTCCACAACTTACCGACAAGGTTATCGACGAAGTTCACCTTCCGCTCCGACTGTCTCAAAAGACAGGGCGGAGGCCGCGTGCATGATGCGCCGTTCGCCTGAGTGGCGCTGTTGGTCCGCCGGGGATGCTTACGCAACTCGGGCGGGACAACGGCCGACTCGGCAACTCGGGGAGCGTTTCCCCTTAAGCAACCACGTGCTCCCACCACCGGGAGGCCCCTTCCTCCAGCCGCGTATTCCCCTTCATTCTCCCAGATCACGTCCACCGGCAGCGTGGCAGCGGAGGAAACCGAGCTTTGGGTAGGCACGCCGTCCAGCGAGAAGACCGAGGAGGTAGAGGAAGAGGCGGAGGAAGAGGCCGTCGATGCGTAGGGGTGCGCATAGGCTGCTCTAATTTGAGTGTTCGGGTTTGGATCCTTCAAACCCAAAACGTCAATCCCTGACATATCCGGGATGATGTCCAGTCGAGAGACCTTGAATACTTTTAACAGATAGAAAAAGATTCGAAGTACCTCAAATGGTCATCCAGAAGGCTGGCAACCTGTTGCTAGACTTCTCAACTGCTGAGGAGCCGCGGAGATGGCCAAGAAGTGTGCGTTTAAATTTGTACCGGGATTATCAAGTAACCGTTATGCTGTAGACCGTAAACGAGTAGCCGTGGGACAGAAAGCCGTCTTTTTATGAGCAGGCGACGGCAAACCCTTAGTAGCGAAGAATCGCCAGTGTGGTGTATGAGTCGAAAGTGAATTGAGGTGTGAGTCAGGGGAAGGCGACAATAACCATCCACCACAGACGTGGGTAGATAGCTAGTGGAAGAGAGGTAGCGAGGTTGGGTGCGAAGAAGACGAGAGTTAGGTAGGCAGTGAGTAACGTGTTATTCACCGTCTACTGTTCCGATCACCGGGTGTAGAGTTTCCGGAGATATCAAGCCGAATATTGCGCAACAAAAGAGACACGTAGGATGACAACGTGATTCTTTCGGGTGACAGATGCCGTTTATGTCAAAGAGCACTTTAGATAGAAGCGATCTTGCCAGAGATTCGGATATCTGAGACCAAGGAAGCAGCAACACGGGCGATCGGAACAAGAGATTTCGAAACAACAGGGTACATCTTGAGGTATGGGGTGTAGTATATCAAGGGCCGATAGAACGGCGAACTGTCACAAACAAGCAGGCGGCTACTGTATGCAGCGGCGCTTGTTCAGGCAGTCAACGGTCTATCGGATAAGAGGAATAGCGCGGTGGAGGAGTTGGTAGTTGGTGAGGCTCAAATAGGCTGAAGGCGAAAAGGGATCGAGTCAGCAACGATCAAGTCAGATAACTAATCTTCGTTTTTTAATATTTCGGGAGGCGTTGTGTAGATATGAGTGTGTGTGCGCGCAGTTTTATGATGACTCTTACTCCGGATCTCACTAGGCAAGGAACCGAAGAAGGCTTTAGGCTTTCTCCTGTCCGGGTGACTGTTAAGAGGCGGCGGGCGGAGCACAAGACAGACTGACAAACTGACAAACTGACAATAGTGACTAACTTGGGGGCGATCCAGTTGCCAGACTAGCCACACTAAAAATGATTCAGGTTGAGATGGCAACCTGAAATCAGGCAGGGAGGCAAAATGGCAACACACACCGGGAGGAGGGAAAACAAGAAGACCAGACAGACTATTCGAGTAAAAATGGAAAGGGTGGTTACTCACCGCGGGCGAGAGTGGCGAGAGTGGCGGGACTTTGGTGGGTGTGGGTGTGAGTCGAGCGGACGCAGGGACCGCTTTTCTTCAGGGCGAGTTTAAGAGCGGAGAGAAAGAAACAACGGGGGAAACAAAACAAGGGAAAATCAGACCACCAAAATCCAGTACAGAAGAAAGAAAAACAGTGAACTTTGGCTACCACTCTCTTCCTAAAAGGGGAATGAACAATAAAAAGGGGAGAGGGGAGAGGGGAGTGTGGGGGGAGGAGGGAAGGGAATAGAGAAGACAAGGAAAGGAGAAGAGAGGCACGGGGAAGAGGAAGAAGAAGAAGAAGATGAGAGTCGAGGTGAGTGAGTCGAGTGAGTCGAGTGGGAAGGCAGGAGTAGAAGGGGAAAGTAGCAGTAGCAGTAGAGGGATCGGGAACTGGACGGGAGCGGATATCGAGTGGAGGAGGAGGACGAGGAGGAGGGAGGGCGATGACTCTTCTGTGGCTGTTCCCGCACGATAACTGGGCCTGGTCCAGTCCTACTTAATACACTCTCCACACTGCACCAGGCTCAACGACTAGAAGGGCCCGACTTGGGCATTACACTAAGTCATTCGCTGATGCTTATTTGTTCGTGACTGATGACACTCAATAACTAGTTACTAGGTAGTTAGACTGACTTATTCAGTCTGCATTAGCTAAGTTCACTACTAACTTCACGAGGATAACCTAAGCAACTGCCCAAGTACTCGTAAATCTCCCCGATGATCCCGTAGTTCATGATCCTTTTGCTCATCATCATTGCTGATTATTATTCTATTATTCATCCAGCGGAGGCAAAGACAAATGTTTGCCCTCCCCTTCCCCCTCTTCGATGTCCCTTCTTTTCCTTCGATGGATGGCAGGATGACCATGGTCGAACGAACCTATTACGAACCCCCCCCTCCCTCCCCCCCGGCACTTTCTGGATTCCATCCCATGTTTGTGAAATGGATGGGGTGGTATCGGCATGACTAAGAATCCACGACAGACCCAACCCCCATCTCTCCGGCCTGGTGGAGTCACTCAGCCATCCGTTCAATGATAACCACCACCTTAGCAAAGTTGGCAATGGTGGTTGAACTCGTTCGCTACCCTATCTTGAGCTAGTGTGCTATCATCGGACCGCCCAACCATCCCCGGACTCCGGTAGTTCAGTTCTCTATCAGTTCTTTCTCTTCTATCGATAGGGAGTGGGCTAGTTATCTATCTAGGTGCTTATGACGATGACTGTTGTCCTACCCCGTCGGGAAGAAAAGAGCGAGAAAAAAAAGCCACGCAGCACTGCCAACCAGCTCCTTATTCTTTGAGAGCGACATCGGCCATCAAACTAGTTACATATTATGCATTATCAGCAAGTACTCAGTAGTTAAGCGACGAACTTTGCTAAGCAGACTACTATATAAGAGCCGGGAGCAACGTACAGTGGTCCATTCAAAACGCGACGAGCCCATCGCGTTGACGTCTATACCCCATAGCAGGCGGGCGGTATTGCTCAGGGATAAATCAGCCGAAAGCCAGTTGGCTCACTAGGCCCCCCATCCGCCGAAGCTAGTTTGATCACAACTCAGAAAGTGACATTTTAAGTTACTTATGATGCTACATTGGTCACCTTACTTTTGTTCACGGTACAATTTTGTGCATTCGGAGTTCTCCATCCACCCACTCGTTAAAAAATCAAGAGGGCGGGCTGCCGGTTTCGTTCGAAGACCCAAGGGAAAGGGAAAGCAGAAAACTTCGGGACTACTTGGTCAGTCAGCCAACCACCGCGGACGGATTATTTGCCAGCCACGCCACCATAAAAGAAAACTCGTACGGGTGAGGCAGTGACACGTACATGCCACACACTCCCAAACATGGCGAGATCTCTGCCCTAATTTTACCATCCTCCTCCTTTTCCCGAAGGAGGCGTCACCCAGTAGGGAGAAGAGAATGGAACAACAAAGGCCTTTATTTGGGGGTCAGTCCACGAGCATACGCCCTCACATCTTAGTCACCTACTAACTACGTACATAGCACAGCCCGTACACTGTATAGGTAGGCCATGCTGAAAACCTCCTTCTATCCACTATCCACTATCCACATGTCTTGCTGCATTAGAAGTTGCACCTCCCGACCAGAACAACTGGCTGTGAAACCTCTCTCCGCCTCCCTCCAGTCGGTCCGATTAGGGAACCTTCCTGATCCCTCAGGCTCAGCCCCAGGCAGCCAGGCAACAGCTCCCTCCCCTTTTTCCGGCCCAACACTTACTCCGGAAAGTCTCCGCCCGCCGCCGCCTGCGCGGGTTGTATGATTAATGCTTTGTCGTCGTATCGGAGGTCCTGACCATGAGATCTATATCCGGATATCCATTATCCAGAATCCGTAAGGTCAGGCTATGTGTCTCTTCTTATCCATGTTCAGCAGAGTCTCGGTACATACTCCGATCACTCCAGCCGTATACTCAACTTGATCTTCAACAAGACACAATCCACAATCCAACAAAAGAAACCCTCCCATCAAGTGATACAACAGAACGAACCCCCTCCCCAGCGGAATGCCGCGGAAGTGCTAAAAACTCACGTCCTGTGCTGCACTCCCCTCCCATCCCCCTCCTCTTACTCCGTACCCTCCGTACTAATCAATCCGATCCTACTGGAACAGACCCCTACAAAGCAAAAAGCAAAAAAAGCAATTATTATCAGGGAAAGCGCATCGGACAAGGCTAGATAGAGCCTGTCCATTCATCTCATGCATGCATATCTAAAGAGTTTACGAAGCAAGTAAGCATGCAATCAATTTACTGTAGGTACAGTACAGTACTTTGGTTCGACAAAATGTCAAGCACAGACAACACAGATGGTTACTAGAATCTTCTGGGTTCTGGGTCTGTTACCCTATACTTCCTGACTCTGAGTTCGAGTATGAAGCTATCATCGTCATCATCGTCATTACTTCTCGCCGAGGTTCCGAGGTATACTAGGTAGCGCAATCAAGGTGACTTCAGCCTCGCCTCGTGTCCTTGTCGGATGCAGATGTCGATAGAAACGAGTCTAACTAACTAAGAATAGTCTGCTCTCAGCAAACACAAAAAAAAAACGGTATCTGAATGTGTACAGCCTTCTTTACCCTTACCCTTACATGGAAAGACAACTTAGACCTAAACAGAAGATCAACTTTCCTAAGCCCCATGACCTTCAATACCCACAGGGCCCAAGTCATGGCGTGAGTGGCTGAGGGGCAAAAGAACATCCATGAAATCAGTAAAGAAAGAAAGAAGAGAGGGGAGAGGGGCGCGCTGTGTGGGGGAGCAAAGCAAGCAAAGCGTGATTGGCAAGTGACCGACCGACCGGCCTCTCACTTTTTTTTTTTCGCAGAATTTGTCCTACGTGAGCGGGCCGGCTGGACAACTTTTGCCCCAGCCAGCCCTGACCTGACTAAAGAAACCCAGAGAGGTTAAGACTCCGTCTCCGACTGGAAAAAAGCACCACACGCACACAAAAGAGTGGAGCCAAAGGCGCAGAACCCAATGACGCGCGGGGTTATTCGCGCGGGGCCCATGTTGGAACCGACCGGCCAGGCTGCCAGGTGCACTGCGAGGTTGCAGCAGGCTGCAAGGCTGCAAGGCTTGCGGTTGGTTAGTTACAGCCTACAGGGATTTTTTGTGTCGTGGGCCTGAGGCAGAAACAAAGTCTCAGGCATCCCACAGAAACCCCGCAGTGCCCTACAGGGTTGGTGACTTGATTATAACCTGGTATCAACCGACATCGCAGCAGCGGGCGAATAGCTTGTGTTTGGTTAGATGCATCCATCGAGATGGGATGTAGAGCAGGCTGGCAGAGCACAGAGTAAACTCAGCTTGCACCCGTCCCGGTTCTAGACTGGGAGATTGGTACACAGCTGTGAATGCAATATATATTCCATCCTACTGTAGCCGTACATCTCGCCCGCGAGATAACCAGGGACTCAAAGTAACGAACTCCACCTACTCATACAAACCACCTTAGTACCTCAAACAACCAAGTAAAACCTCCCAAGCATGAGCAAGCACCAAACCAAATGAAAAGCCCCCTCACCCACACACAGTACATACCTCCCGAAACTCAAACCCCCTTCCTCCAAACAGACTGGACCATCCAAAACACCACTGCACCAAACAAACAAACAAACACCGTGAACCCCTCAGTCCCTCACCAGGATGGAAATACAGGTACTTTTATCCCCCGACACCACCAATCACCACCCTCACCGTCCTCAAACCTTCCATCCAAACAAGGCACAGGGCAGCCCAACCCCTCATCCAAGATCATGGATAGAATGAATCCTTGAATCCTCCGCCCATCTAGAACAGCGGGAATACACAAAAAAACCAAAACCAAGACCTGGAGCTCCGATTCGGGAGCACCATGCAGGTGATATGCAGAGCTAATGCCGGCTGATGTGGTGGTGCCGCACGGGGGCCACTCAGAGGGGGACCGTTGCGTAAGTTATGCTTTTGGTCCTCTGTCTGGTGGGTGGGGAAGGGCTCGGTTCCGTACTGGTAGTTAATAGCAAGGATTGTATTTGCTCGAGAAGTGTACGAGTAAGAAAGGTGGTGTTTGAGGCGGGTGGGGTGTGAAGGAAGGCAGCGTGGGCTTGATGTACTGTGCTGTGTAGTATTTACCGTAGGTATAGTGCAGAAGAAGGGGACTTTGTCACTGCTGAGATAGGGTGGAGGAACATCGTCTATGGTTTGTATGTTGATACTTCCTCGGGTGAGGTGGGACTACATTGGAGTCAAAGATGGAGAGTCTGGAGTCAAAGACTTGTATACTGTATGTGCAATACTCCATGCCACAGGGCTGACGAAACACAATATGGGTGTCTGCATATACGACGAGGTCCCTCGGCCTCAGATACACAACCGAGCAGCAAATCGACCACATGGATCACTGGATATCAGCCCGCACCTTCTCCACGAACGCAGTCAGATCCTCCAGGAGATCCGCCGGCCGTTCGAGCGCGGCGAAATGTCCTCCCTATCGTAACGGTTAGTTGGATAACTACTTATAGCATCAAACCAAATGAGGAGGATAGACCAACCTTCTCATGCGTATTCCAGAACACCAAGTTCCCAGTCGTTTCGATCCACGCTCGCGGGACTGGCATCAGCTCTTTAGGGAAGTAAGAGAACCCAAACGGTTTCTTGATGTACCACCTAGGGTCCTCGGCGAGCTGAAGTTTAGGCATGGGGACTTGCTGCGCGTGGTGTTACTACACAAAAAGGAACGGAGGGAGGGGGCCAATCCCCAAGAACAAGCTACGACATACCTCGCGATAATGGTAGATGCACCGAGGGAACGACTCGGTGAGCCAATACAACGACACCGACTCGAGGATATCATTCAGAGGGAGGGGGTCGTCGGGCCAGTCGAGGAACTTTTCTCCAACCCTAATTATCCGCCGATAAGCTTTCCATGAAGTAGGGGTAGTAAACAACCACAGCAAGCCGTGTACCGAGGAGCAGAAACTCACCAAGCAAGCAAAGCAACCGGGTTCGCCGAAAGGACGTTCCCGATGGTGCTGGGCCGACTGCCATGCTCGAAGCCGTAGGCGGCACCGTAGGTCATGAACCACTCCCCGCGAGCCAGGTTCTGTTTCTCGAACTCGGAGATGGACGAATCCTGCACGTGGGCGGGTTTGCCCATATAGCATGCGTTCACTGGAAGGGGTTGTTCTTCCACGTTAGATCGTGGACCCAGCCCCTCCTGTCACACTGGTAGTACTGGTAGGAACTTACAATGAACCGCTGCTCAGTCAAATCAGTAAGCCGTACTTTGACTTCACACTGAGGGAAACACAGGACCCAAAGAGACATACCTTTGCAAGCATCGTAATCCACCGCCATGATCCGACCAATCCTCGACCCAATATCACCCCCCTGTGCCACATATCCCCCCTCGAACCCGAGATTGACCATCACCTGATTGATGACCCTGGCCGTGTCCTGTCCCGTGAAGTCCCGGTCCAGAGGGGGCCCGGAGGACAGCGTAAAGCCTGGAAGGGACGGTACCACGAGGTGATACGGAAGCTCCTCCGGGGAGTACTTGTCCTTGAGGAGAGACAGGAGGGGCAGGAACTCCAGGAAGCTACCAGGCCAGCCGTGCAGTAGAACGATAGGGATCGCATCAGCTTTCTTCGAGAAGAGACCGACAAAGTGGATGGTCATGTCCTCGATCTCGTAGGTGAACTGCGGAAAGCTGTTGATGCGCTGCTCTGTAGGTCGCCTTTGGCCCTCCTTGGTGATTAGTGGGATTCGATATAGCGGGATAAGCCTTTGGAGGAAAATGTTTACCAGTCGAAGCTTTTCCACGCCTGTCGTGCTTCCAGGAGCCAGTCTCGAGTGATACCATATTTGCGATCTTCCTGCGAACTTTCGTAGGTGGGCGGGGCGACCTTGGACAGCTTGACCAGCACGAGGAGCTCTTCAATCTGGGCGTCGGTGATGTGAAGCTGGTAAGGCTTGGGAGGAATCTTGGCTCCGGAAGGGATGTCGCTGTATGCGAGAGCCATTTTGTTTTGGATGTGGGGGACTTGTAGCTGTGGTCAGGATGTTGGAGTGGGTGAAGGGGTCGTTGTTGATGTTGATGTTTTTGATGTGCAGAACGCATGATGTAACTGCGGGGTCGCGGGACTCATTATTTATCTCTCATATGCAGCACTGACGACCGATAAGTCAATCAACTGATTGACCTTCACTCCATGATTATTAATGCTCCAAATTGGGGTCTGATCGGTGAAGTTGAGAGGTGAGTATGGCTCCAAGTGACTCAGTGTCGGTGGATCAATGGTAATATCGGCTAGAGCAAGTAAGCCTGCACTAGCATCCTTATGTGGCATGGTGTTGAGCCTAGAAATGAGGCACAAGGATGCAGTGGTCAAAGCGCAGCAGTTGTAAGGTATTGGTATGGCGATGATTTGTGCGAAGGTACGTGGTCTATTTGTTAGATGTGATATAGACCTTTTGCTTGAGTGCTTGGTGCGCCCCCCAAGATACTCACTAATCCCTCACCCCTTTCCCGCTCATCTGTGGACCTCTAAAACTATCCAAGAAAGTGTCTATTCCCACGAGAGAAGCGCCATCGAGCTGGCAGCGAAATGTGCATCGGCTCTTTCAATACAATAGAACCTACATAATCTATTTAGTCATCCTCACCCTCGACCCAGCCAATAAACCCACAGCACGATCCTCCACCGGCCTCAGCACTTGTACTCTTTTCAGTCGCCTCCATACTTCTTCGCGCCGATGGCATCACCTCGATGTTCGCGGTGAACCAGAAGAATTCAGAAGGAAATAACATAGAGGTAGGTGAACATCATG